CTTTAAACACACTGCGTTATCTGTTCTGCCGGCACTATAAGGCGCCAGAAAAGTTCGCTGTAGATTAATACGGGATGTAAGCAATAACAATTAAAATAACGTGAAAACATTGATAAAAAAATGTGTTTCTTTACTTCGTTTTTCAACCGATTCCAAGCCGAAATCAGTAAAAAAATCCTTGTCAGCCAGCAAGTAGCAAAGCCAATCTTTGATGGCCCATGTAAACTTTAAATAAGTCCCTGTTTTTGGAGTCCGTGAAAGGAAGAGGGCATACAAGAGAGAAGAGAATTTCCTCACCAGATTTTAGCTCGCCTAACAGGCGTTATTTTTTGGCGGTGACGAGATAGAGGCGCGAAGCGCGTGGCAAGGGACACGAATTCTCGGGGAATCTGTCCGTCTGATTTGTCTTCATAAAGCCTATAAGGCGTCTGCGCGCTGCCTGTGAACTGTGATCCCAGGTTTGTCCAGTACACCTCACACTGCGCTCGCAATTTACGCGCATGATCAATATATTTGATTGCACCTGGTAGGTAGACCGCGAGCGGTGGTCCTTCTTTCCACAGGGCCACGCGCAGCAAGTGAAAAAGTAGAATTACTGTGATTCAAAAGAAAAATAAGAGACTGCTCGCAGTCTACCTGGTAGGGGACGGGACGGCGAATTTTGTAAAAACAGGTTATCAAATTGTTTTCAGGCGAGCTCTTGCGATGGCTACTCAATGGACAGCTAACAAATGCGAGATTATATCACTATATTTTTAGCCCATTAAGCCCTGAAAGTGATGAACAACAAAGTTCTCTCGGAATACCTATTTTTTTACACATTGGTGACGAGAATAAAGGACATGATCAAAAACAATAAACTTAATTAAAACTTCAACAAATTCTCCCACTAATAACGACAACTTTTATTTAAACACATGCAGTTAAAATTGAAGCTAATACAGTTTATGGGGCCGTGTACATATTAATTAAAAACATGCTTATGAAAATACATAATTGCAATTAAAAAATCTATACCTAAAAAGTAAAAAAAGTACTCAATTCTTGTGTTATCCCAAAAAATATAAATGTACCAGTATTATTATATTGATTATTAGTCAATGAAAGACGAAATTACTGTCATTGAACATATTCATTGCAAGGAGTGATTCAGCTGAGAAATTGAGATTTTTGAGGGCATGAGAGTTTATGGCCATTTTAGCGTAGGCTCTTGTGTCAGCCAGGGAGGGATCTAACAAGTTCCAAGCATGGCATCCTCTGTACGAGATGGAGTTCTTTATGTACTACGGTTCGAACACTCACGCGATGGTGATGACGAAAGTTGTACTTGTTCTCTCGCCTCTGGATTAAATGTTCTAAGCAGGGTTCTAAGCATGATGTTAAAGTGGCTATCTTAATGTTAAAGTGGCTATCTCGGCCTTGTACATGTCAAATAACAAGTCCCACTTGATTGATTTTCGAACGTCTAGAGTGTAAGTCTCGAGGCAGGTTATATATGACTCAAGCAGCTCTTCTATGTATAGATTCCAAAGCATTGAATTCATTCTTATTGGTGGCACACCCCCAATTGGTAGCGCAAGACCGCTTATTTGTAGCGTAAGACCACTTATTCTATAGAAAACGTGTAGGGACAACAAATGGATAAAGTATGGAATATTTTTTGAAGGAAGGATAGCTACCATACTTCTGTTTCGCACTGTTAAAGATGTTAAAGTTATCTCGTTTTAGAAGTAACCCTTCTGTCGGTGGAAATTGCACCGAGGTCCGTGAAAGGAAAGGAAATTTTACATGAATTTTACATTCAAGTTATAAATTGCTCAATGAAATTTCTAAGTGAAAGCAGCAAGCTTTGTGAGGTCAATATTATCGGTAAAATGTCTGGTTTATTCAGCCGGATTCCTCCTCCTTTACTATTTTCACTCAACTCGAAACACTACTCGATAACTTCAAGTCTAATTTTTTTTTTAGACAAAGGGAAACAATTGAGGTAAGATTTTACAAACAGCCTAGTTTAACAGTCGTTAAAGTTTTTATAAACTCAAGATTAAATGATATCTTTTCGTTTTTTCGTGGGCATTCAGGTTTGGGCTCAACTTATTCCTGAACCATGAGAGGATAACCGTGTAATTGTGAGTATATAAATTGACTTTCAGATACAATAGAAAGGGACTTTTATAGCTAGTGGAAAACAGCATAAACTTTTCAGCTTGAGCGAGCCAAAGCGAATACAATGAATCAAAACTGTGTCGATGTTGTGGTTCAAAGTTTTCTTTACGTTGATAATTTTCCAAACAGCTTAAAGTTCGTCACAATATGAATCAGCTATAGTAACTTCATACTTAGGAAGGGAAGGTGGGCAGATGTTTACCAGATCCTTATACTGATACACTTTTACTTAGATCGATTGTGGTCATCAGTTTAAGGGAAAGGAAGGAAAAATAACAGCTGATTGAAAAATGTGCCAAGGAAAAAACATGTCAAGGAAAAATTGAGCTTAGGTAGAAAATTATTTTTCAAGTGGAGAAATAAAGTGTGGTCGGGGGCTGAGTGTGAAAATAATGTGAAAGCATTGTCAGTCCCAAGCACTGATGTTGTTTATTAATTATTTCAACAGCAAAAATGTTTTTGCATGTACCAATTAAATATTCGGGTTGTGAATTCTAAATCATTCTTAATAATATAGAACACCCTTAAGTTCTAAACATTGCATTCATGACTTTCAAGACATGAATTTAGATGTTAGAGCTGCAGATTCCAACTTCAATCAGGCAGAAATTTGAGATAATAATTCTGGCAGGCATTAAAGTAAGCAAGGTTTTATTCCTCTAGATCAAAACCTTGACTGTCCCTCAAAGACTTTTGTCATCTGTTATGAAACCAATTGTTTTTCCCTATATCCTCTACCAGTAAAGATAATAAATTTGTCATTAGCATATGCATACTTTGTTAATTAGTTTCAGAGCAGCCTTTCCAATGCTGAGTATCTAACATTCAACTTGAGGAGCTGGGAAACATCTTAAAAAAAAACAAGGAACAGGAGTTATCTCTAGAAATGTTGTAACTTAAAGTACAAAACATTTATATGGCAGCTCATAATAATATTGTTATTGTTGTTGGATTACAAAAATAACTCGCCGTCCCAACTGGGCTAGCCTGTGTCGCAGGACACTCTAAACCGCCTGGATAACTAACAGTGTGTATATAGGGTGTAGTTGCCGAGTTATACTAAATGGATTGTAGTAACAGAGGAAGATCATTTCCAGGATTCTAATCCCTAGTGCCCCGGAGAGACAGAGAACGAAAAATCAAAAATTTTCTTGAGAGGAATATGATTTATACGAAAGAAAAGAGCCGATCTTGATCAATTCCCTCCGGTCTTTGAACATTACACGTGGCCATGTCCTTCAAAGGTAAATTCCGCTGTTAGTATTAAGCCTAGTTTCTGTAGTTTGATTCAGGTGCCTTTAATTCAGCAAATACAGGGAATCCTGCTTCAACCCAAGAGAGGATTTTACCTTCGACAGCCGCACCAAAGTTGAGTCTTCTCAGAGTAAATTTTAGATCCGTTTACACACAAAAGAACTCCGACTCATTAATACTCGTTCAAAGCTGTGTTAATTGAATGATTTTCTTTGTTTGCCACTTAGCCGAGATGAATCATGTCAATGACTGTGTTTTTAAACACAGCTTGTTGCTTAAAAGCAACAAGCTCTCTCTCTCTCTGGGGTAAATCATGAAAGAGGCCTTCAAAGGAGGGTATGCTGTGGCTTTGTTTGTCATTCCTGAAGCTGCCTGCTGTCGCCTTGTAGGTTAGGAAAAAATATCGCTGTCCCCGAAAGTCGCTAGGGCAGAAAGTCGCTGTCGATTGGCATAAATTTCTGTGATACTCAATTTCAGATTTACGGCAGATATACAAAAGTCAGGATAAAGAGCCACAACAGAACAAATTCTACTCTAAACTTTCTCCCGCGGTGAATGAAAAGTTACGGACATGCATTCTCGCCCGAGCCCGAATGGAGAGCTTGAAACCTCACAATCAAAAAAATTTCCGGGGGCTCAAATAAATAAGCTTAACATGCAAATTTAGTAACAGATTTTACATTATATAGTGGCTGGCAGAAGTAAAGATATACTCGGTACGGATTCCAAAACTTAACTTAACCTCCACTTTCAAACGCTACCGGCCGGATTCAGATTGGGTCAGGCTTCTTGTGTAGCAAAAAATGCTTCATCTTGCTATGAAACACTGAGTTTGTCCGTAAGTGATGTCTCCAAACTTAATATGACTATACCGATACTATAGTAGACTGTTTACTCATTGCCTTGCATATTTAAGTCTGTTGCAAGCTCACATCCGCCTTCCGATGGCCTTAGATGTTACGTCACAAGGGGGAAAAATTATCGGCAATGGGGTTTTGACATCAGCGTGTTTCTTTTTCAGGACAACATATGCAGAACTCCGGAAAGGGACGAGTTGGACCGCCTGGCCCTCCTGGGAAACAGGGATTGGTTGGAACTCCTGGGAAACAGGGACCTGCTGGTATTCCTGGGAAACAGGGACCTGCTGGTGCTTCTGGGAAACAGGGACCTGCTGGTGCTCCTGGGAAATCAGGACCAATTGGACCAAAAAGGATCAAAAGGTATCAAGGACAAACGACATAGAGATCAAGGGAAAAACTGAACCTTTTCTGACACCAACTGTGAATGCAGGAAAAAGAGCAAAAGAAACTCCCCTTTCAACATACCAACATTTACAAGTTAGCCACTGACCCGGCTAGCTGTAAACAATAACTTCCATTAATCGAATTTCAGCTAACATCTTGTTTCTTTTTTATGGTGTTTTTGAGTCTTTTGCAAGCCGGCCATTTTTCAACCGTTATATGCTTGATTTATAATCGTCAGAATCCCATAGGAAAAAATAGTCTCATGACAGCTCCAATTTTGAGCCAAATGATGTAATAAGTCGAGATTGAGTGCTTGGGGTCTTTTTATACTTCTAAGGAGAACAGGGAAAACAAGGAACCAACAAGTCATTCCCAGGCCCTCCTGGTCCTAAAGGAGACCAGGGAGCAGTTGGAAAGACTGGAGCCCAGGGACCACAGGGTGCAAAAGGAGAAAAGGGACAGGATGGAGCTGGGACAACAGGAGTGAAGTACGTTCGCTGGGGAAGGACCACATGTCCTAGTGGTGCGCAGATAGTTTATAAAGGTAAGCGAAAAGGAGCTGACATGATAGTTACTATTACTCCTATGGTCCTAAAGACAGAAAGAGTGATAACCTGTGCGAAAAGAAGCTTACATGATAGTTACTATTATGCCATGATTCTAAATACAGAAAGAGTGATAAGCTTAGGATTTTTATGCCACTTATTCTGAGTCATTTTTAAAAGTGGCAACTATGAAATTTCTCTAAGCTTGTTACTTTTACTGGTCAATGACCCGGGCATCTCTTCAAGTTATCTTTTTGTTGCATCTTTCCAGCAGTGTAACTGGTTCGTGCATAAGACAGAGTGAAATCTGGGTATGAGAAAACGCCCCTTGTTTTTCCCAACAATGCGCGCTCTCACGGCATTGTTTACGTCGAGGTCACATGAAACTGTATCCCGCATAAAGTTTTTTTTACAGTCTATGTCGTCGATCGGATCCTTGAACATTGAATAATCACCCATGAAGCATAAATGATTACCGCTTGCTGAAATGTATTTTCATAAATTTGTAGTCAAATACGCTTTTCTTTTCAGTGATCAAAAGAAATAGGCAGACAATGAGTAGAGTATTGTATTAAATTTTTGCCTAAAAATGTTACAGCCGTTTGTTGTTTGTGGTCTTAGTGTTTAAGCAATCTGATTAGTTTCTTATCTTTGACAATCCAGCAATTTTCACCTCCTAGCGATAATTGCGTGAACTAGGTGTTTTTCCAATTTTCTGTGTAAGAACTAATCAACAGAATCCTAGGGTTGATGTTTTTGAAAGTAAGAAAGGATTTCAAATTGTTTTAATTGCGTTTTCCGATTTACTTTGGCATAATGTTTTTCGCTTGCAATAACAGCTCACTAGAGTAAATGAGGCCATTTTGTTAACTCAGCATTTCCTAACAAGAGGAATTCAGTTGCCTAGAAATCAAAGTTAATTTTTGACAAAAGAAAATGAAAGCAAATGCTTGCGAAAATTCTTCATTTCAAATAACCAGGACAGAGAAAAGACGCCTTGCCTAGGCCTCCCTCAACCGCTAGCCGCCATTTAATGCACTTGCGAAGAGCGGAAAGGAAAGTTTGGCTAGTTGACAGAATTTCCAAGAATAATTGTTAATAAATTTTTTTCCTTGTATCAGGTATAATGGGTGGAGAACTTTACAATCACCATGGTGGTGGAGCGAACTACCTCTGCCTTCCACACAATCCAAAGTATGACAAGTACAAAGATGGCCATCAGATGGCTGGATACGTGTACGGCACTGAATATGAAGTGCATCAGTACAGCGGTAACCCTTTTAAGAGAAATCTCCACGATCATGAAGCAACATGTGTTGTCTGCTTCGTCAAGTCACGTGGCTCGATGCTGATGATGCCTGCCAGGAATGATTGTCCATCTGGATGGACCGAGGAGTATCATGGGTACCTGATGACAGAAAATCATGGACACAAGCATTCAAGTGATTTCATCTGTGTTGACGAGGATCCGGAGTATGTTCCTGGTAGCAATGCCAACAAGGATGGTGCTTTGCTGTACCCTGTGGAAGGTGTTTGTGGCTCACTCCCATGTCTTCCTTATGTCAGCGGTCGAGAGTTGACATGCGCTGTGTGCACCAAGTGACGGGAAGATACCTTTTACAGTGGCATGGCCACCATGCTGATGAGCTACGAAAACCAAATAATAATGGTTAAATCAGTATATACTTTAAACTAGACTTAAGCCACACTGCGTTATCTGTTCTGCTGGCACTATAAGGCGCCAGAAAAGTCAGCTGTAGATTAATACGGGATGTAAGCAATAACAATTAAAATAAGGTGAAAACATTGATAAAAAATGTGTTTCTTTACTTCAAGTTTATAAAACCGTGATTCCAAGAAATCGGTACAAATGCCCTGGCTGACAGCAACTAGCAAAGCCAATCTTCGATGGCCGATGTAAACTTTAAACAAGTCCCTATTTTTTGAGTCCAATGAAAGGAAGAAGGCATACAAGAGAAGTGAATTTCCTCACCAGATTGTAGATCGCCAAACTTTGTTATTTACCTTTGAAAAGATCAAAGTGCGAAGCGCGAGGCAAGGGGACACGGATTCTCGGGGAAACTGTCTTTATAAAGCCTACTAGCAGTAATCGTACGTAGATTATAGTGTGTCGCCTTTCTCCATAAAGCATCTTAATCCTTTTTATCCTACACTGAGTTATGGGGAGTTGATTTCTCAAACGAAGTCAGTTTCGTAAGAAATCGTCTGGTTTTCCATTCCTGAATCAAACCTCTTCGGCGGAACTTTTGCATAGTACTATTTATTTGTAAGGCAAACATACTAATTGGCGCATGGCGCGCTCGGATGCTATTTTGACGTTTCAAGATGACGCAGATTTGGAACCGACACACCAACAACCTCTTTTCTCGATTTCTCGCGCTTGGAACATGCACAGGCCGCCCACGAACACACAGAATAGCCAACGACTCTCCTTCCTCGACGCAATATGATGTCCGGGCTGCCTGTGAACTATGATCCCAGGTTTGTCGAGTACCGCCTCACACCGCGCTCGCAATTTACTCGCATGATCAATATATTTGATTGCACCTGGTAGATAGACCAGACTGGTCCTTCTTTCCTCAGGGCCGCGCGTGGCGAGTAAAAAATTTTGTAAAAACAGATTATCAAGTTGTTGTCCGGCGAGCTCTTGCGATGGCTACTCAATGGAAGAACAGCTAACAAATGCGAGATTATGTCACTATATTTTTAACCCATTAATTAAGCCCTGAGAGTGACAAATCTTGGAATCAGGGAGGACGGAGGATTTTGTGATAGAGGGGGCCTAGAGATATAGTGTAGAGTGGCAATATGGGCGCGAAAGCGCCCATCAGGTTTGCGAACGGCGCACTTTTCTACGAAGTTTCGGGCGCATGCTCCTCCAGGAAAATTTTTGAGATTGAAGTTCTCTGAGTTGCAATCTAGTGCATTCTGGACGCTTGAATTTAGCAAATGTCTGGATTCCATATTGAACATGTAATGCTGAAATATTTAACAAGCCACAGGTGTGGTTGTGTTCAAAGAAACAAACAGTAAAAATTGAAGTTATAACACTCTGATTACATGATCTGTCAAATGACATTTACTCTGTGACGTTACCATGGGCATGACTTTGAACGGCTTACGTGTCCGTAGACGCTTTGCTTGCTCAAATGATGACATTGATATGTAATCGCCAGACAAAATGGATCTCTCGAGAACTTCCGATAGTGACGAATCATTTTCAGGAGGCTCGGAAATATCGCATGAATCACTAGGTGAGAGGAAGGTTAGTGCGCTTATCTGGTCACTTACAGTCACGCGAATTTGGCTCATTTTCCCATCCCGCGAGTAATTTGCCTTAGCAGTGATTACGTCGTTCGCCAAGTTTAGTGCAAAGATCCTACACTTAATAGGACAACATTGCCTCAGTTACAGCAAATGTGGAATTGTGTACGAACGGGAATGTGGTATGATGGATCTCTCATTTCTCCACGCAGATCCCGCGGGAACAATAACGGAAATCCCTTGATGTGTAAGGTGCTTCGATGAGCTTGCTATGCAACAAAAACGGAGTAGTTTTTCTCGCAGACGGTTAACTTAACGAATAAAGTACCGCAGAGGAAAGAAACGTCGGTTAACGACGGTTAACAACGGTTAACAACTTTTCTGAAGAAAAACAACAGTTAGACTATCAGTTTCCTTTAATATATTCTGTTAACCGCTGTTAACCGTTGTTAACCGTTGGAATAAACATGTGCGTGCCTGTTAATCGTTTATTTCAAGCGTTTACGGTGCTTTCAAGCATTTTCCGTAGTATATAGAACCTTTTTGTTGATTTTCAAGCATTAAAAAGACCTTTTTACTCAAGGGAAAACTTTTTGACACTGGTGTAATTGTCATGAAATGCGCTATTTTTTGCTACAAGAGAACTGCCATCGCGTGACAACATGTTTTCGCTGTATTTGTGATCAAAGAGGCATTGCTTTCCCTACACATCCTATTTCTACCCATTTTGGAAGTTCTTCATTAATATTTGTTCTTTTGGCCTTGGTTGTCATAGAAGAATTAACGGTTTTATCGGCATGGATTCCATTATTTTGTCAAGTAGATAATCTGGTATATATGTTGTAAATTGTTCTAATTACACACTCAGTAAACGCGGGTATTGTTAACTCGGTGAAGCTTACTTTTCCAGTTCTACTCTAACTACATGGAGAAAGTTGTCACTGCAGCTAAGTATCACTACCTCTAAGGGTTATTTTCAACTGCTCCGCCGCATTCTTGAGTCCTCGTGTATGACCTGCACACCACGCACTATTATTTTTGAACAGGACAGTTTGCTGCGCAAATATAATAAATACCCAGTCTTATCTAATTTATTCGACATGTAAGCACAATTAACGTTGGTAAAAAGGCCGGAGGTAAGGCTCCTATTAAGATATCATACTCGTGACACACAGTAACTCCTTAACAGTGGCCACTGTACTGTCGCAATTTGTAATAATCATCGCACTTTGTAATACCTGTCGCAATTTGTAATAAATCCATCGCACTTTGTAATACCTGTCGTAATTTGTAATAAACCGTGTCGCACTTTGTAATAAAAAAGCTGTCGCAATTTGTAATAACGGTCCATCGCACTTTGTAATAAACTAAGCTGTCGCAATTTGTAATAATTCCATCGCACTTTGTAATAATTTTTTGAGAGTGATTCAACTTACTTCGTTAACATTAATATAATGCCAAAATATGCGTGGTACCTCATAAACAAAGATCATGACGTCTGCTAGCTCGTAACATCTCCGTTCATTCAGACCATTTGACTTTATTCACAGTCCTAAACACTTTTTAAAATTAATGTTGATTAGTTATCTGACTTACGAAATGCTGTATTCTTAAACCTTGCTATTATACTACTGTAGATGGTTTGCATTCAATGGTTACCCGGCCGGTGTATTTCCTTATATGGTCAATACGAAGATGTGCCTCTGGACAAAGCATTGTCAGAGTACAGGATCTAGACACACTGGACACAAACGAGCCATTATTAAAAAGCATTTAATTTCCACAAATCGTAACATCCATCCTACGTCATTCGAATAAGGACACCAGGAAGCTCAAGCTTTCCTGCTAGATCTTATAATAGGTCGACACAGCACGTGGTGCACCGTCCTTGTCTAACACGCAATCTTAAAGAAGTAGTAGTGGCTTCCATATTTTGGCCAACTTAATCAAACGAGGCCTCAAGATTCAAAATGTTTACTGCAAATAAACAAAAAAACCTCAGCAGTGGCAAACCGTCGAACCACAACAGAAACATAAACACAAAATCCAATTAGTCGCTGGCCAATACCTTCGTATGTATCTGTTTTTATAAAACTTAGTTGGTCTTACACTGAGCAGGCTGGCCATTTGGTCCTTTATTCTCACTTGATTTGGTCCCATATCGGAACAAAAGGAGTACTCATTCTATCTTTAAACAATGTTTTTATATGGAGTCCTCTAAAGCAAATACCGTGGGGACAGTAAAAATTCTATGTCCCTACGTATATACAACTCGTAAGACCTTGCAATTCTTCCGAGCGTGTTCAGAATTACTTTTTTTCCCACAAAATGGAAAGGACGGAATAAACCATCCATTACTACTTGAATTACTCTTTTCTAAGGATCAAACCAAAGACATAAGGCCAACAAGGTAAAAAAAAAAACCCTATTAAAGGCTCGAGATCCTCAAAACCATACCCTATCAGGCGGTACTTACCTATCCAGCCCATCGATATATGGGATTATCCCCGCCTCCCGAAGACTTCACGTGTCACGTGGCAAACAAATATGGATTTCGTAGACGAATGCCAGGTAATTCATGGATTTTCTGGTTTTAGATGTTGCTTTTGTTATTTAAATATTTTAAATTTAAACATGAGTCATATCTTTTTGGTGATATGTCATAAGAAGTTTCCATGTCTTTCATAAAAGCGATTCTAGTTGGTCTCGTGATTAATCAAGGCAGAAAAATTTATAGCGGAAGACATGCATGTTTGACCAAAGAAAATGTTACGGAGATGTTACGTGCTAGCAGAGGTCATCATCCTTATTTATAAAGTACCATACATATTTTGGCATTATATTAATGTTGAATCACTCTCAAGTTGAATCATTCTCACAAAAGTATTACAAAGTGCGATGCAATTATTACAAATTGCGACAGCTTAGTTTATTACAAAGTGCGATGGACCGTTATTACAAATTGCGACAGCTTTTTATTACAAAGTGCGACACGGTTTATTACAAATTACGACAGGTATTACAAAGTGCGATGGATTTATTACAAATTGCGACAGGTATTACAAAGTGCGATGATTATTACAAATTGCGACAGTACAGCCACCAACCACAATTAATTTCAATACTTTTTCTGTAAAGAGCATGATTTCTTTCTCATTTAGGTATAAGGTTTCTAATTTATGGCTAAATTTCTAAGTGCATAATTAATGCGTCCTAATTGTTTTTTATGACACCTTCTTTCGTAGTCACAAAACTTTAGACAAGTACAACATCTGTTGCAAAAAAAAATCAATACCCTCCGAC